GGAGCGGAGCGGCTCCGGGCGGGACGGAGCGGTCCCGGGGCGGAGCGGCCCCGCTGGGCCGCGGGCGCCCTCGCACGGGCCCCGCCGTCGGGACGGCTTCGTACCCGGGCTCTCCGCTGCTCGGGAGGCRGCGCAGGCTGCGCCGGGAGCCGCCGGGGGCACTCCGGAGTTGCCCGGAGGCTCCCGAGACTTAGCGGGTGCTCAGGGTCCTGCTGGGATGCTCCTGGGCTKCCTGGAGGCTCCCAGGACTTAGCGGGTGCTCTGGGTCCTGCTGGGATGCTCGGAGGCTGCCCAGAGACTCCCAAGATTTAGCAGGGTGCTCTGGGTCCTGCTGGGATGCTCCTGGGCTGCCCGGAGGCTCCCAAGACTTAGCAGGGTGCTCTGGGTCCAGCTGCAATGCTGCGGTTCTGCCAAAGGGCTCCAGGTCTGCCAGGATGCTCGAGGTCTCCTGGGATGCCCTGGCCTTGCCAGGAGGCTCTACAGCCTGTGAGCATGCTCCAGGTCTGCCAGGAAGCTCCAGGGTTATTATCATAATCCTGAGCATGCCAAGAGGCTTCCAAGACTTGGCAGGGTGCTCTGGGTCCTGCTGGGATGTTGTTGGCCTGCCAGGAGGCTCCCAAGATTTGGCAGGGTCCTCTGGGTCCTGCTGTGATGCTGTTGGTCTGCCAAGATACTAGAGATCTCCTGGGATGCTCCGGGCTTGCTGGGATACACTAGGGCCTGTGGGGATCTGTCAGGAGGCTCCAGAGTTATCATCATAGTCATGAGCATGCCAGGAGGCTCTCGGTCCTCCTGGCATGCTGCGGGTCTGCCAAGATGCTCCAAGTTTCCTGGGATACTCTGGGCTTGCCAGGATGTTCTAGGGCCTGTGGAGATACTCCAGGAGGTTCCAGACTTGTCATCATAGTCCCGAGTTTGACAGAACCCTCTGGGACCTGGTGGAGTGCTCCAAAGATCTGATAGGTGCTTTTAAGGCAGTTGTTCTTGAGCCCTGACTGATTCTTATTGAGCAATTGCAGAAAAGGGCTCGGTGAGGTGAGGGACCTGACAGCGCCGCCGCTCCACAAGCTGAGGATCCTGTCCCCTTTCTCAGAGCAGGTCAAGGACACATCTGGGAAAGGTGGACGCTGCTTGGAGAAGCTTGGATGCCCAAGCAGGTTAAGCATGGGATGGATGTGTCATCTCCAGCAGCAGAAGAAGCAGCATCTGAAGGAGCACGGACACTCCAGGTGGTGGTCCTAGCGGTGTGCTCACACCAAGGAAGGGACAAGAACCATAAGAGAAGGTCTGAYGACCCTTATCTTTGGTGCAAAGCCTCCCTCGGTGCAAGTGCGGGGGAAAACACGCTTGGTCAATGTGATGCTTCCTTGCCAGCCTTGCCTAGGCCTGGGTGGCACCTCTGCTCGGCCCATGCTCGGCAGTGCCTCTACCCCAGGCTGGAGCAGGGAGTTCCAGGGCGTTCTTGCCTCCCACCCGCAGAGCTCTGCAGCAAGCAGCTGGTTCTGAGCTCTCTTTCCGTTTTCCTGGAAAGAGAAGCGCCGGCAGGAGGGGGGCAGCAGCAGGCTGCTCTCTGCAGCTCCTTGCTGCAGCTGGAGACACGGTTTGCTGCACATTGGTGCTGGGTCGGAGGGAAGGGAACAGGCAACACAGTGAAGGTGCCCAAAGAGGAGTCCTGGAGCTGCTGCCTGCCCAGCCTGGGGTCTGCCAATATCTCCAGGGCTTCACATCCAAAAGGAGCCCATGGCAGAGCCTCATGGCTTGGCCCAGCAAAGGGGCATGATTATATGGGGAGGTCTGGGCATGTGGGGACCCAGGAGGGGCAGATGCAGAGGAGGGAGATAGGGAAGATGCAGGAGAGACGCTAGTGGGTGCAGGAGGATGGGGAGAGTGCGTAGGGACCAGGGCAAAACTGGGGCGACTGGGGCAGTGGCCCCAGGGTGGTGTAGGGGGAGTGAGGTGACACAGGAGCCCCATGGGGTTGCAGAACCCAGGGCAGGCACAGGGACCAGAGCAATACAGGAGCCCAGAGGGGTGCAGGAGCAGGGCTTGGGCCATACAGGAGCCCAGRGAGGTGCAGAAGTCTGGCTTGGGCCATACAGGAGCCCAGGGAGGTGCAGGGCAGGGGCCAGGCAATACAGAAGCCCAAGGGGATGCAGGAGCAAGACCCCGGGCCATACAGGAGCCCATGGGGATGTAGGAGCAGGACCTGGGCCATACAGGAGCCCAGGGGGGTGCAGGGCCCGGGCCATACAGGAGTCCAAGGGGGTGCAGGGGCAGGCGCAGGACCTGGGCAATACAGGAGCCCAGGGGGATGCAGGGCAGGGCCCAGGCCATACAGGAGCCCAGGGGCTTGGCAATACAGGAGCCCAGGGGGATGTAGGAACAGGACCCAGTCCATACAGGAGCCGGGGGGATGTAGGAGCAGGACCTGGGCCATACCGGAGCCCAGGGGGATGCAGGGCCTGGGCAATACAGGAGCTGGGGGAATGTAGGAACAGGACCCGGTCCATACCGGAGACCAGGGGGTTGCAGGGCCTGGGCAATACAGGAGCCCAGGGGGATGTAGGAACAGGACCCAGTCCATACAGGAGCCGGGGGGATGTAGGAACAGGACCTGGGCCATACAGGAGCCCAGGAGGATGTAGGAGCAGGACCCGGTCCACACCGGAGCCCAGGGGGT